GCCTCGACGTGGAGGTCTGTGTATGCGTGATCTCTTGATGCATGCTACGATGTGAAACATCCTTCGACGTCTGCACAGATAAGTAGTCTCCGGGATTTTTGTGTGGCTCATGATGCAATTACGACTACAGGCTAAAAGATGGCATTCGGATAAAACTGATTTGAAAACCAATATGAAACGGTTAAATGGACAGACTTGTAAGAACGAAGTTGCTACTGGTGTTATGGCTAAGTATTTCCAATATTTCTCAAGAGCACATGTTGCCCTGTTGATAAACCACCTAACATTAGACATGGGTTTTACGCGCTACAGTGTCCGAGATATCCCTAGATATTGTAACGTTGAGGTAAATGTAAGGGAGGTAGTTGCGCATGCACCATTTTCAATAAGCATTAACTTCGACATAAGTAAGAAGGTGTTGTTGAAACAAAACCTTAATGTCACATTGACTGCTTTCATTCAAGCTTTACTACAGCTCCTCGTCAAAGATATCGTGGTGGTGGATGCTCACACGCTAGAGGTGTCCTGGTACAAACCGGAGAATGTGGAGGGAACTCTTGGGGGCTTCACAATCTCCACTAGACCCTACGTTCAAGGCTTCGTCAACAAGCCAGAGTGGCGGCATGTGGCCAACGTAACCGCAGACTCGCGATCGTACAGGATCACTGACTTGGAGCCCAACACGCGCTACGAAGTCACTGTTCGTGGTTATGTGCTGCCGAACGAAGAGGGACAGGGCGGAGGCTACAACCAATATTCCTATCCTCGAATTGCCTCAACGTTGTCTACTTGTAGGTGACGCGAGTTATGATGTTAACACTTGTCTTTGTTAAAGTGCTTGCAGACATCTATTCTGCAACAACTTTGAGCTCAATTAAGACCATGGAATGTAGGCATATAATATTGCTGTGTCAATACCCAAAGGCGTTAAGACGTCGTTGATTTTTTCGAATGCATGGTGTAACTTTGCTGGTTTGGAGAGTAGGTAGATTGCAGTTCGGAGGAAATTGTTGATGCACAGTTTGCTTGTCTGTACATTTTTTTGCGAAACGATTCCACATGAAGCTTGTTAGTAAGGAATGTGAGAGAGAGGGAGAGAGATTGAGACTCATCCGTATATTAGCTTGTTCAACTCTGCTGAGTTGTGTGTTAGCGTGCGCTCGCAGTGTTGCATGCCGAATGTAGGCAGTGACTACTAGCCTGGGTGAACTGGATAACGTTCAAATAACTGAATTGTCAGAAGTGTTCAATTGAAAGCTGAGCAGGTACGAACTGTGTGTGAGTGCAGATGGTTCTCCATGGCCAAACTGAAAAGAGGGCAAAGTGTCGCAGACTGCAGCAACCGGATCACTGGACGTGAATCAATACGATTCGCAACAGTTCTCGACTCAGCAGAATGAATTGATAATGAGACTGCTTCGAACAACATTTCTGAAAGGTAGGCTGTAGGTTGTGCGCAGTTGAGATGTCCACATAGTAAAGGCCGGTGTTTATAAAGAGTTGAGAATCTGGAAGGCCGTGGTTGCGATTCTAGAATCAAAGTAAGTCCAATGAGATTAAGTATGAAATGCTGCCGAACCAGGTGAGAAATGAAAGTCGCGAGATGAGTCAGTGTTGAGTTAGGCAACGGTTGCAAAATGAGACACGGCTTGAATACACAGGAATTGGGTTATGAGACAATGCGGTGATGGGAGCGAATGACGATGGAAAATTTGACATCCTCTCGGGCACCTAAAGGGTTCACCGTGGGGTCTAATGGAGTTAGCGGTATCCTATCTATCAAGAAATTTTTTTCCTTCGAAACAAGTGTTGTGATCAGGCGAATGTACGCATCTGATGAAGCGTATAGTGGTACCAATCTGTTTATTGTTGGAGTGGATGGTAGTTTGCTGCGTCTGTGGCTTGTTGCTCGCAGGCAATTTTTTTTGTAGAGGAAAGCTGGCATGAGACGGTCGACTACAAAGGTGTTTGACAGCGAGATAGGTAGATAACCAGATGTTCTCGGTCGAAGGTGCTATAACACAGTTGATCCCTTCCAATCACCATGTGTTGCGATTAGACGTACGAATACAAGATA